TTTTTTTTTTTTTTTTTTTTTCTTTTTTTGGCTACAGTTCCATGTGTAGCACTGAATCCAGCGTGGGCAATGTATTCCCAGGTTAAAGGAAGGGATATTATCCACAGTGGATCTATGAAAACAGAAGCTCTGTTGCATTTAAAGCAAGATCAGGACCCATTTTGTAATGCTGTACGTAATACGAGTCACTGCTCTGATCCCCAATTCAGAATGTCAGTGTTACTTTTTACAACCTAGATCTACCTGCTTTAGCTTTATTAAATAAAATGCTTTAACTCCTTAAAATCATTAACAATAGTAACTTTTTGGTTGTTGTTGTTGTATCTAAGGTTTCTGCAGTTTCTGAAAGACTGTTTGATTGATCTGATGTTCCATATTTTTTCATGGTATTTTTAGGGCAACCGCACATACCCACCAGTACTTATGTACTTGTGTTTGAAGTATCTCTAAATTTACTTCTCTAATAAAGCCTATTAGAAGCGTAAAAGTAACCAAATGTGAATCTGCCAAATAGAAATCAAATTTATATTTAAAAGCTTATGTTCCAATCCTAGATAGAACGGTGTAAATTCTTCTAATTAAGACTGGTTTCTACACCTGTGTAAAGCCCTGACAAGATTTAAGCATTGTTTTGAATGGTCTCTGTCTAGGTATCTCCAATTTACTTCTACTGAGGAATGTGCAAATGATTTTATACAGCACGATGCTAGTACCGCTCTGTACTATAGTAATTTTTTTTGTTTTGTAAATAAAAAACAACAACAAATCCCTAGTCAGAAATAAACTGACAAAATTTACATTCTTCTCTCTTAAAAAAGTAAATAAAATAACATTATTTAAAATGTGAATTAGCTATAGGACATACAATACAATTACATAGATACATATCAATACAGCACATTCAATTTGCCAAAAATTAATGATTACAAAGCCAATATGGATGCTGCCATATATATATATAGATGTATGTACAATGATTATAGCATTCATAATTGCACTATACCTACAACCAGTTTTAAATTACAAGGTGTTTTAAGAGGGAGCAAAAAATAGCAACTGTTCTTATTACTGTTGTTTTGGAGTTGGGAGGGTTAAGGATGAAAAACGTCTCATTAGTATTTATCATTAACTTTGGTAATCAACTAATAAGCCATTATTTTTTTCCAACTCCCATCTGCTGCTATGAGGCAGCAATTTCTGTGTTAAGTGCACTCCAGTGCTGCTTGGCATTACAGATAATCAATCCGATTACATGTCTGAACTCTGAGTTCTCTGTAGCTTGTGAGCAATCATGCACCTGGTCAAAAAACACCTTTCAACCTAAGCTGCAGAATAAAGGCTCATCAATGTGTGCTGCATTTTTGTTGTTAAAAAAATTGCACATTTAAATTTCAAGAATGATTTTCTCACTGTTTCATTTACATTAATAAATCTTCTCTAGAGAACACTGAGAGAGGCTATTTTGCGTGAAAGCCTATCAAATGTCTGTGAATCAGTTAGTTAACAACCTTATCAAGAAAGGTTCCTGAATGTGATCTCTCATCAATAGTTTCTTGTTATACAACTAAAGGTGTCTTGATTATTATTACAGAAAATAATCTCATGCCATACCTGACATAAAGAGAGATTTATACTCTCTTTAAATTAGTAGACCACATGCGTGTGCATGGTGCACCTCGTAGCATATTCACTCACACTGTTGGTTTTGGCATTAGAAAATGGAATACTTTCTAAAAAGGGAACACACAAGGTGAAACGGTTTGTTCATCATTTGGCAGTTGACTCAATCAGGTCAGTTCCCAACCCATCAGTTTGGCATTTCAATCAGTATTTCATGTTTCAAGAGCATTGGTTTTATAAAAAGCCAGATTTGGCAACATTAATTCTATACAATAAAAATAATTTTTCTACTGTGGAAAAAGAACACTTAAAAAAGCTCTAACTTAAGAAAAACAAACCCCACACAACTGAAAAAAACCCACTGTTTCAGGCTGTAGCCACTGGGGAAAATGTAGTGTCTATGAGATTTCTATTTGGCATTTGTGAATAAAAGAAGAGAGAAAAAATGGCACATGGCAATTAGAAAGAGATTCTAACATATTCCATGTACATCCCCGGTTGTGTCTTAATTATTTCATTACTGTCTTCTGTGCACCTTTCTGAACTGTGAAAATACGATTAAATTTCACATCCTTACACAACTGTAATCCTATTTTGCAATCCCAATATTTTAGTCCCAAAAGTGAAGACAGAATGAAGACACCCATGTCAAGAATTTAAAAATCACAGTATCAATACTTTTGATCCTTCAGAGAAAGTACATACTGTAAAATTAGAATGACCGATGACTTAAGTTCTGATGATAGTATTTTCCTGACCAAATCACTCAACAGAAAGTATTTCACCCAGGAATGCAACTGGGAAAAAAAAAAAAAAAAGGCCATTGTACCTTGTAAAAGAGGAAAGAGGAAATCTGCTTGATTTTGCTTCAATAGCAAAAAACTGCTATCTTTTGTAAATGTGAGACTGAGAATTTAAAACACATTGAGTCACAAGGTTTTGCCTAAAAAATGAGGAAATGTGCTGTGAATGTACTTCAGCATCTTTTGGTTTTCCTCCATATAGTTTAAATAAAATCATAATATTAACTACAAACTCTGTGGACATTCACAGAGTCCAGGCCGGCAATAAATTAGTATTATGCAAATTGTTTTCATAGATAATACAGTCCCCCTTGTATATCTTTAATCACGCAAAGTTGGTTTTGGAGGGCCTCCTAGGCACAGTTAGACCAGGTTGTACTCCTTCAGGTTTAACTGTAGGATCGTGTCCTTGACAGCAGCAAAGACGAAGCGGATGTTCTCTGTGTCTGTAGCGCATGTGAAGTGGGAGTAGATAATTTTGTCACTGTCTGGATTCAGGTCTACGAACATCTTCAGGATGAACTCTCGTGCCGCTTGTGCATCCCGTTGTGGTCCTGATGATTAAGAAGAGAAAATCAGTTTTCTTAAAGTCAATTCAGCATTTGAACTTATTTAACAGGAAACAAGAAAAGGTCAGTCTGTGGCCCTCACATAGGAGAAGACAGGGGACTTTCTACTAATCAGTAGCATCATATAGTGGCTACTTTCTTCCTGGTAGGAACTACGAAATGTAAAGATGGAAGGAAATTTCTCCTTTTTCTTTTTTAGGATAAAGTTTAAAACAGGTGATTTATAACTGCACAGAATGGAAAATGAAAAGTTAGCTATACTAATAAATCTTTAAAAATGTTAATAGAATTGGTGAATGTTCAGTCTACACCTACTATATTTAAATTATACTTAAGTTTTTTTAGCACTGCAACGTTTACTAGTTTTATGAGGATTTTAACAGGTAGCATAATGAAGTTGTGTCCCGAAATGGTCTGACACTGTCAACAATAGAAATTAATTTACTTTAGTGATAATAAAACACATATGCTCTACAGCTGAAGCTGTTTGATTGCAGAAGGCTCATGTTCTAACAAATCACTTAGGATCATTATCATACATAATTCAGATATCAGATCTAAATGAAAGTTGTAATTCTCAGAAGGATGCGGAGTCTATGTAAGCAAACCACATGTTCAGCTTGCAGAAGACAGAAGGTAAGTAATGACTTCCAGCCTGGAACAGGGAGGATTCATTCACATTCACAGCCAAAAGAGCAGTGCAGAAGCAAGAACATTAGCCACAAGCTGTTGAATTCTGTTCCGTTATTGCAGTGCCGTTTCCAAAGGCCATTGCTCCCTTGCTCTCCTGTTTCTGGAACATGGGTTTCTACGGAACACATGTTTTCTCTGCTGCCTTCTCCTCCTCCTATTGTCTTCATTAGCCCTGGTCGTGTTACATGGCAACATAAACACCAACCCTCAGCTGTGAGAAATCACCTACTTTCTGGTGTGCTGTAAGTCCATGTGGAGGGGGAGTAAGCTTCTGCAATATATGGGTGTATGCACATGAACATGTATGTACATACATACCCACACAGAGATTACACATTTCCTGAGATTTAAGGATGTAAACAGATCATGAGCTCTCTGAAGCAGGAGATTGGACTACTCAACACTTTTACAGCTTCTAAAACACAACAGGGTCTGGCCTTTGGCTTGGTCACCCAGACTTGATAGAAACAGCAGCAACAATAAGTCTCACACTGCCACAAATGAATTTGCAATGTTTGTGAAGAAAACTCTTAGACTTTCAAAGACAATGATTTCTTCAACCACTTACTGTTTTGAACAACTTCCTAGAATTTTGTTAAACAGTTTCATAGTAGCTAGATACAGTGAGCTCTCAAAATCTACTGCACTATTCAAAGCCTGTATCCAAATTTGCTTACCTAATCACACCTTTACTGACTATCATGTAATTTGAATTTTTGTTTGACTGAAGTTCAAGTATGGAAAATTAAGGTTAAAGAATGTTTATGACCTCAGGAATTCAAGAAAAGATTGAATGAGTCAATGTTAAATTTAGACTGCAAAGTGGCTGTGATCTAAGTACTACGGAGACTTGGAAAAGAATTGCTATATAAATCAGTTGGTTTCTCGTCCACTGCTCCCTAATCAGCAGTTTTTGAAGAGTATCCCTACATGACATTCAAGATGTATGTAAGAAGTACTATATCAACATTTTTCTCTTATTTTCCTCCCAACTATGGCCCCTTTTTGTCTTTGTCCCCTCTCCCTCTCCCAGCTCTTAATTCCAGTCTGCAAGCCAGTCTTCTAGTACTAGCCATGCAAGGATGCCTTCATGTGATACCCAGACCCCTGAACATGCCTCAGTCCCCCTTCCAATGCTGGTACAATACACCATGCAGCAAAACTGTTTAGCTTAATTTTATCAGTCCAATTTTTCATCCTGACTAGGAGGTCTCATCCATATGCTACTTTCTCCCTTGTGCAGGAAAATCCATGGGAGAAGTGATCCAGCTGAAGCATACCTATTTCTGATCCCTTCCTCAAATCCTCCCAGCTCCCACATCCCCAGTGTGCTGGGACAGAAGAGGGCACCACATGGTGACCTCTGCAAGCCACAGGTCCCACCCTGCCACCAGAAGAAAACAAATCAAACCATAACCTTGTCTGTGGAGTTATTAAGTCCAGCAAGGTCTGCAGAATTAAAAGACAAAGACTCTTGAAGACTTCCAGGTCTTGACTCCAACAGCCCTACCGCTCCATAATCTTTTTTTCCCTCACCAATGGCAAATGACAGGAGAAAAGGGGTTTCTCTGAGCTGAGGGGCTGAGTTTTGTCTGTTCTTTCTGGACAAGCATTTAACACAGGCTTTACTGTCACTTGAGTGGTGACAACAGTGGTGACTGTAGAGTCTTCTCACCTTCAGGATGTCATCTATGGAAATTGTCATACAAAGTAAACTTAAAAGAAGCAGCATATTTCTATTCAACTGGCAGCTCTTTTCTGCATAGCACTATGAAACTAAACTTACACTGACTCATAAATGATATGGTCTGATACTGCAGGCTGTTCAATATTTCCTTCCCCTTAAACAGGAAACAAAATGTAAATTTTTCCTGTTATTACTCTCCATATTTTAAGATGAGAAAGTTAGTCTTTTATTTAGCTTTCAAATCTGCTATTCAGTCCCTGGTGGGACAAAACAGATTTTATTTTTTTAAAAACAGAGGAGTTTTTAGTTTGATTTTTCTGTTACCAAGGCCTCCACTCAGCTACCTCAAAATACTTGGCTTTTCTTTTTTTTACTTCAAGAGAACTTTCTGAAAGTACAGTTTTGTAGAAACAGCTGTACAATCCACGTAATTTTTTTTATGGACAAGCACATTATTTTCACATAAATAATGTAAAATTAAAACAAAGGGAAAAAAGAGGTACAATAACAGGGTGGAAGTAATGCTACTGGTTTCTGAGTGCCACAGAGAGCTTATGAAACTTCCCCTCAGATATTCAACCTTAGACAAAAGCAAACCTCAAAAAAAAAATGAGTATGGGAGACAATGGGTAAAAGCAACAAATGCATCTTTGTTTCTTTTTGGCTCTTATACTTAAGTTTAAACCCACACCCCAAGTTATGAAAAAGGACAGAATGTGGTTCACTGCTAATATGACAATACTCACCTAAAAGTCAACAATTTCCCATGAAAGGTTCTGCCGTCCTACCCACAATTAATTACAGTATAAATTGAAATCCTAGCAGTCTAAAAAAATCCCACAAGAGTTCAATCATATTATAAAAATTTAGATGATTAAAAATGGCAAAGCACCTTTTTTTTTTTTCCCCCCCAAGAGCAAAATAGAGATCTATTGATTTTGCTATCAAAGGATCTATTTACCTAGCATTTGGACAAGGTTATTACAATTTGTCATTGCTGCAGTGTATATAGAACATGAGCTCTGATGTCATTATACTTACCGTCATACTCTGGAAAATAATCAACTAGATGGGAGTACATAATTTTCTCCTCTAAGAGATCTTTTTTATTTAAGAACAGAATGACTGAAGAGTTCTGGAACCATGGATATGTGATAATTGTCCTAAAGAGTGCTTTGCTTTCTTCCATTCGGTTCTGGAATAAAAAAGAGAGTGGAATTTTGGTGGTCATGAAAATAATGTAAAACATTTTTTTGAAATAAACTCATGCAATTTCACTTTATTTGGTAAAAGGTTCCATTTCAAGTTTTGCACCTTCCTACCAGTATGTAAGGTTCAAGTAATTAAATTACAATTAGTAAGTACACAGTTAAGTAAATATGCATTTTCCTTTAGCAAATTCAACGTCTCCAGCTGAGTATTCTTTAAAACATGGGTCATGAACATGCAAGCTGGAATGGGTACATCTGTAAAGTCTGAGTATGCACAATTCTGATCAGCCAACAAACTGCGGGTATTAAAATGCATGTAATTCACGGTAGGCACGTATACCACACACAATAACCAGTTCAAGGTTTATGAACATTATTTATTTTATAGGCCTTTCCTGAACTCTAAATGCAGTAGACAGTTCTTAGATAATTCTTAGAAAGAGATCTACTTTAAAATAGTTGCAAGTAAATTTCAAACCTGAAAACATTTCGTCAGCACCAAAGGCTTATGATGAAATCTTAAAAATCTGTAAATTCCTAAATTTGTTTCTAACGTCATTGGGTTAGCCTTTACTTTAATTGCTTAACTACCCCTGAAAACCACTGTGCATTACAGCTGAAATGTAAATTAAGCCTACAGTTCTATTTGTAATGCTTTTCTGTCACTGTAAAATTATGATTTGGTGCAGTTCTGAAGAACTCTTAGGCTGACATCATGTGGTTAATACAGAGTCACAACAAACTTGAGTGCAAGGCAAAGGAATTAACTTACTTCTTTGCTTTTATTATTTAAAGTGGCAGCCCCCTGAAAAAAACTGTTTCACCACCAAACAGGGTTCCAGAGAACAACATCATTCTGCTGTTGCTGAGCCATACAACAATCTGTCAGGTGACTTAGACAGTTTTGCAATGATTGTATCTTTAATTGCATTAATTTGAATTTTAAAGAGACCAATGTAAGCAAGACCAATAGGAACTCAAAAAACAACAACAGCAAAAAAACCCAAAACCAAACCCTAAAAAAAAAATCCATTTTGTAGAAGTTGATGGTTTGGTCTCTTATGCCACCACCGAATCTTCAAGCAATTTATAAAACTTCACCGCATACTAGAGTATGAGAATACAGATGAGAATGGGAATAGTATACAAGAATACTAAATGGCCTTGTACGCTGTATTAACAGAAATGCTAAGAAAACTGATAGTGCATCATACAAGATAAAGTACTTCTAACTCAAACAAGAATTTCTGCTGTAACTTAGGAGCTGATTATATGGAGAGGGAGATCCCTATATCTGGATATCTTTTCCAGCAAACATCAATTTCAAATTTGAGACCTAATGGCCACTGGTGGACCTATCCTTTATGAATTTTACCAGATGTCTTTTAACCCATTTATTTTATGGTCGGTGAAAATAAATAGCTGAATTAATAGATTGAGAAACTAATGCAGAGGAGTAAAACCTTTGCTTTCTTGCAGTCAGTCCTTATGACTCATGTTGATTTCAATGGTGCCAGGATTTCATTCAGAAAGGAGAAAAACTGAAATGTCAACAGAGCAGTGCATAAAATCCAAATCCTTAGACTAACTGTTAAACACACCTTGTTTTCCTCTCAACATTCTATATCGATGACTTCTCTAAACAAGGCCTTACAGTGGGAACTACACAGGATAGTTTTCACTTCTACAGTTGATGAAAAAGAGAAGGCAATGTAAACTTAAAAACTACTGCTTAAACTATAAATATTTACCTAAACTCATTAACATTGCTATCTTCTAATGTGACACTCAGAAGGTGAAACATCATGATGCAATTAGCAGTGTTCTTTCACAGTAAATTTATACACTATTGGAAAAGTGCACAGAAAACACAAGGAAATTACTTCTCTAGAGTTAAGTGTTCCTGCTTTCCACAAAACCCATTCAAGAGGGCTGCAATATTTTAATCTATAATGATGATTTTTTCCATATATGTAACACAGAATTGCAAAGAGAAACAAATAAATTGGTTTGGATAAATTCATGACCCTTCCTCTAGGAAAGCTCAAGAAAACTGTGTTTTGCAAACATTGTTATTAGACCCAGAGCATATTTTCATTTTCTGTTTGAAAGGGATGTCAACAAGATGAAGCAGAAAAGGCATGCAGACTAAAGCTACATTGGTATCAAACTTAAAACAATCCCATCAGCTAAAACATTAACTCCCTAAGGGCTGCGGATCATAAAAATACCAGGAGACATAAAATACAGAACAAAATACTGTGTCTTCAATGTAGGAAGAGTATGTCTTGTATTATATATTAATTATGAATTCTGTATAATACGAACTGCATTCTACAGTCACTTTTTTCCTCTTATAAATTCATAAATGTCTCTCAAGTCCTTTCAGACTTGATTTGAGGCATCTGACTTAAACCTCTCCTTGATGAGACATCTACTAAGGATTCCACTCAGCAGACAGATCAGAGATGAAGCGGGTTTCCATGATTTCAAAGATAGTTCAATTATTTCAAAACCAATCTGGGATGCCAAAAAAAGGATACTACTAAGAAGGCAGTGTAAAAGAGCTGCTTCATAAAAAATAATGTTTTATCAAAGGAAATAATTAAAGCCTTAAGAAGTGGTCAATATGTGCAGTCTAACACAACTGAAAGAAATGCTCAACTGCTTTAGAAAAAATAGATAGTTCAGGATGTCAGTAACTGAAGTCAATAAGCCACTATCAGATTATCCCAGCCTCATTCACTTCACTGTATCTTTAATATAGTCAAAGGTTCATTTCATACAGAAGCCACTTGCCTCGAAAAGTCATCAAGTTAACGATATTTCCAGGAAGAGCCAACGCTAAATCTGAATCTATTCCTGACTCTGGGAGAACAGGCTTTAAAGAGGCAACAGCAGTAGACTGTTGCCCTTGCTAATTTTGTATTAAATTATCCAGTCCTAAACCAAATTAACTGGAAGTCAGAGAATTGTGGGAAATGATAAAAAATACACATTACATTGCCAGAGCCTGTTGAAGTAGAATTATTTCTTATGGTACGAGGATCTTGCCCTGCACAGTCATACAGGCTGAAGACATTGGGAAGGTAAGACAGTAAAGTCTTCCACACCAAATGGTAACTCTGAGGAACAGTAACTATCTCGGTACAGGGATTATTTCAGAGTGTACATCACTACAGAACAGCCCTTACCAAGCCTCCACCTGTAGGTTGAAGCAAACGGCAGGGATTAAGACATCAGGAAGGCTGCAGACATATTTTCTAAGGAGGTGGCAAAGGATGACAAGCTGTCACAGTTAAGAAAAAGGTCACTCTCCTTAAGATCCGTAATTGACAGGTGATCCTTCTCAAGGCAAAGACTTGCTATCTTCTGCCCTTACAACAGAAGCGTGGAAAAAAGACTTAAGATACGAGGGTTGGACTAGATGATCTCCTGAGGACCCTTCCAACCCTTGCCATTCTGTGATTCTGTGATCACTGGTTATCTTCTCTGAATTTATGTCACATTGAAATTCTCCACAGACAAACACGCCTTCACAAAAGGCATGTAATAAGACGGTACTGCTAGAACTTTAAAAGGACAAATCAGTCAATTCCAGGGATTCAATGCAGATTTCATATCATTCATATATTTAACAAGTGTCTTGCAAAGCCTCATAAAAATATTAATAAGAAAATTCCTTTTCAGTTTGCATGACATAAGCAACATACATTACTGAATGACTGCTATGGTCAATGCTCTTTAACTGGAAATAAACCTTAATCTTAGATGATGTCATGACGGAACTGTCCATAAGCTCGTCTGCTTTCTCTGATGGTATCAGCTGGTCTAATAAAATTATCGCTTCTTCCTACAGATCATGCTTGTTCTAGCATTTGTATTGTCCACGGGGATCCTCTGAATGAAAAATGTCAGTTCTATCTGACAGCATCATAAATTACATGGCTGTTATTGCAGTCCTGTCACATTAACATCAGTTTTGACATCTAAAGATCAAATAATGGAAATCCAAAATCCGTAATTGAATGTTAACTCTGAGTTTGGGGTTTTTTTTCCAATTCTTTTACAACTTTGTTATGCATAGACCTAATAATAACTTAATAGTTGAAAAGTCAAGAGGACTCAAGAGGAGGGAGAAAAACCTAGTAAATAGACAACCTAACTTCACACTCAGGTTGGGTTTTTTTACAGTTTTTTTCTGCCTCTCCTTAGTGCCACAAACTGAACTTATGGTATGGACAATACTATCAAAGTGCAAGAAAAGAAAGTACTTAATGTGCCCTAAGGAGAAGACAGATACTCACTGTATATTGATCATAGGTGTACCTTCTCTTGGTGTGTCGCTGTAATATAATAAAACCTAAAGGGTCTATCTGTTCTGTTCCCTCCCTATAACTCCCACCTTCAGGTGAGTGCTTTTTACATAACTGAGCCCTTCCTTAGCAAATAAATAAAAATGCTTACCAGTTGCCTGAATTGTGGGAAACCTCACTGGCTTTTTCCTCTTCCCTATCCTTAAGAGGAATGTAGATAGAATCTCATTAAATACATACTAAACTCCCAGCACTTTTAAAAAACTGTCCCAAAAGCCAGCACTGTAGACTTGAAATGAATGTGTATCATTATGAAAAACAATTAGCCTCTGGCTTCTCCTTCTGAAACTTTCTCACATATTGAATCAAACTATTTGCTTTTCAGAGTTTATTTTTTAACAGAGTCAGAAAGTTTAAAAGATGGCAAAAGCACAACAAAAGAAGCACAGAGATGAAATGATACAGCTTCAATACTAATGGGAAGTGATGGACTTCCAAGGAAAATGCTGCAATCTGTATTTTAGATTTAAGGACTGTTCTTGTTAAACTTGTCACTAAAGAACTCAGCGTAGTTATAATGGAGAGCAAGTGCAGTGAACTTAAGTGGAGGTAGTAAATATCCAACCCAAGCTCTGAAGATGGACATTAAGAGAAGAATTAATTTCTTA